TGACAAAAATATTCACCAAAATTAGAGAATTAAAGATATCATTACAAAATGAACAAATCTGAGAGGTCCACATGTAGTACCTATATATGTAATATCAAAGCAATTGAACTATTGGTTTTTAACAAGAAGTCGAAAATATCACTTTTTACCAAAAATGACAAAAATATCCACCAAAATTAAAGAATTGAAGATATCAACATGAAATGAACAAACCTAAGAGAGGTCTACCCAAGGTACATATACCCGGTACACCAAGTATCAAAGCATTCTGGCTTGTAGTTTTCAAGAAGAAGTCGAAAAAGTAAAACATGGACACTGACGACGACGAACAATCACTCATATGACAAGCTCCGCTCGACAAAGTCGACAGCGGAGCTAATAAAAGACAAGTCATGCCAGGTCCTCATTGGTTCAATAAAATAAACAAAACTGAAGTGAGTCGGCCATTTTGAATGAGAACGTAAACAAACAAAGTTGTGAAGATTTATTTCTATCAGACATATTCAATCTGATCTGAAAATACATAATGGTCCTGTTTATATACATTGTACATGTTTCAATGTACGTAGGAAAACGGACAATATCTGTCTTTATAATTGAGATTTTGTTCCAGAATGGCAGAAATGCTTAATTTTGATGCATTTTTAACATTGAAATGACCATCATTCGGCCATCTTGAATCAGATCGTCAACAAAATTAAAGTGCATATATACATATAAAATTTAAGGTCAAGGAATACAGTTCCGGAACCACATTCATTAAAACAAAATGGCCTCCAGTCGGCCATTTTAGATCACATCTGATTCAAAAAATTATTTTTGAATACTTAATTATTGAATACAGATTGAATACAGATTGAAGTAAAATAGCTAAACTTTATGTTAACTTCTATTCAAATGCACTTCTACTAGCACAAATATGGTAATTGTTATCACATGACCATGGTGCATACAATTACCCATCCATAATTTCAAATTGTGATGTTTAGCGATAAATATCGATAGCTGGTATAGTACGGTAAACGTCATAATTTTACATTATTCATTTTATGCGGCCAAACTGATCCTTCGACTGAAATTTTATTTTAAAAAGATATCGATTGAAGGGTAATATTTCTGCCCATTATCAATAATCGTCGTTGACTGTTAATGCAAATCCATAGATGCTCTTTGTCATCATATCTTGTCATTAATTAGCATACGAGTTGTAAGCATAGTTCAGTAAAATTAGCAATTTGGGTATTCAGAGTTGGTCATGTGATATCAATGTAATCACCTGTTATCACTTATACATAGAGCTCATTGATACTTGCCATGTTATGGTATATGTGTGATGTCATGGTATACGTGTGATGTCATGGTATACGTGTGATGTCATGGTATATGTGTGATGTCATGGTATATGTGTGATGTCATGAGTCACATCATACAGTCACTATGTATCAAGTGACACCAGGTGATAAGCTCATTTATTTGCTATTTTCTTTTGTATTACCAGTACGTACACTCAACTCTAATAGTAGCGCATATACTTTCATAAATTAGTGAGGCGTTTCTATAAAGATCAAAGTAGGTAATATTTCAATGATTCACCATACAGAAAATGTAATTATTGGTTGTTATAACACATCGCTCGTTAATACTGTACTGTAATTGGTCAAAACGGGATCACGTGTTATCGGTTAAATTACCATAGTAGCGCCAGGGAAATTACTAGTTCCCTAGGGAGACTAGTACATCGAGTAGTGCCTGGGGATGACGTCACCTGATCGTGTGATTTCCAATATGTCGTCTGCTAGTTCGGTTGCTGATATCGATGGTCCGCCTCGAAAGACTGGACGATTTAGCTTCAGTTCAGAAGAAGAACTTGACACACTAGTAGAAAATAAAGATGCACCGAAGACGAAGGACGCAATCAGGTTTTCTAGAAGCGTCTTTACATCATTTTGTGAAGAAATCGGGACACCGCTAGCAGACGTCGAGAAGAAGACGTGCAGTGTGTTTACTATTAATGGTACAGTATGAACATGTAATGTGTTATGAAACAAATATTGCATGGCACTAGTATACGTCTATTTTCCCCTCGGGGTTGTGGGGCAATATGTGCTTAATATGCACTTATTTTGGAGATGTGCTTCTAATAGAGCACATAAGGTAATCTTATTTTATGTACATTATAATTTTAACATTTAAAAAAATAGCAAATAAATTAAAATAATTGAAAAAATATATGAAAAAAATTAAATACATAATTATTTTAAAAAAATATCAAACAATGATCTGATATTTTAATCAGATTAATACAAATATCAATGATGCATGTACATGTGGTTTGGATTGTAACGTGTATGTAATCAATCTATCATAACAAATGGAAACAAAATTGCATTTACATACACGTCATAGGTCTTGTTTCAGAATGATCAAAACAGCCATAGCTCGAGTACACAGGATTGCTTTAAGTGAGCCAGCATTGTGGTAAATATCATCTGCTTTAGGGTCGATACCTATGACAACAGGCCTTTCTAAATCACTAAAACACCTAATTGAACCAATTACGATACTATTATCATCATGGACCTCTAATTTATTGATAGGAAAATACCTTTCAAGGAAGTTAAACAGCTCACCATTCACTTTAATCTCTTTCTGTCGGCTTACTAGTATAGCAATTTGTCCATGAGAGTACCCACTTCTTGTCAATTCTAGTAATAACTCTCTCAGTTTATTCTGCAAATGCCAATTGTCCTTGTAAGACAATTCCCTCACCTTTTCACCCTCAAAATCATGACTTATCTCTAACTGTATCCCCTGATAATGATCACCATGAAATTGCTCCGAAAATTTGAAAATTGACTGACTGTTTCTAATAATCTTTGTCAGAGTATGGGTCGGGAAAGTGCCTTCATAAAATTCTTCAGGAATGCCACTTTTCATTGATTCGTTTTCGATCAGAGTTTTCTGAATGAGATCGATAAAACACCACAGTTTTCCACAATTCTCTTTAGTGATCTTTCTAGCTTTCTGGTACCAAGGTTCATCTGCGATTTTGTCTTCCATATCTCTGTAACTCTGCACACTGTCCATAATAATGTGTTTCACAGGATACAAATTATCCTTTTTAACAAACGTTTTTCTTGTAGCAGAATGAAAGTCTTCAGTTTGTCTAAAACAAAACAAATTGTATACCTTAAACAATAATTATAAATACACTTGTATTAGGAGTCAAAAATATCATTTTTTTTTACCAAAATTGACGAAAATATTTGCTAAAAATAAAGAATTAGAGATATCGTCGTGAAACGAACAAATCTGACAGAGGTCAACCCAAGGTACCTACATACATGTACCGAGTATGGAAAAAAAATATTCACTAAAAATAGAGAATTGTCACAAAATGATCAAATCTGACCCAAGGTCCACAAAAGCCTGGTAGTTTTCAAGAAGAAATTGAAAATAGCATTTTTTACCTTAAATGATCAAAAAATTTACTAAAACTTGAGAATTGAAGATATCGTTACAAAATGAACAAATCAGACAGAGGTCCACCCAAGGTATACCTACAAACCAAATCAGAATTGATGAAAATAAAATTTTTTACCAAAATGACAAAAAAATTTTGCCAAAAAATAGAGAATTTAAGATATATTCTTATTGGCAATAACATTTTTCATCAAAATGACAAAAATACTCTCCAAAAACAGAGAATTGAAAATAGCTGGTAGTTTTCAAGAAGAAGTCCAAAATGCAATTGTTGACAGATGATAAAATGCAATTGTTGACGAATGTACGACAAACAACAATCACCTATATGAACATCTCCACTCTGTCATCTTCAATGACAGATGTAGCTAATATATGGAAGTTAATTTGTTTTTCAATTGGTGACAATACATACATCCCTCCAATCCTATTAGACAGTATAGTATTTACCTCTCTAGGTTAGCTAATTTCAATTCGAAAGGTATTAAAATTAATTTAGGCAGAGGGTTCTCCGAACCCACCTTTTCACATAGTTCATACCCACCATATACTCCGGTCAGTCAAAATGACTATTTTGAACTGTAGGCATTAATCAGCGATTCTGCCAATGACGGAGAGATAAAATCTATGACCCCAAGATTTTTTTCCCTTACGGTCACGAACCACCGACAGAGGTAACTGTGGCGACACCACCT